GCTTGAGTGTTGCTAGAATTCTTTATTGTTGTATGATTAATATGGGAGAAAAATCCTTTATCTTTCATGTTCCATGTCCTCTCTGGTTTTGGTCATCTATGTCTGTTAAACATAGATTGTATTTTGATGCTATGAAAATAGATTTAAATAAGTGATATTCCTATCACTAAGTGATGAATGTTAAGAGGGAGAAAAGGACATCATTAAATACAAAGGTATTTTAACTGTCATGGTAGAAGCATGTAGCAAGCAGTGTGTGGGAAAGTATAGTCACTTCATCTTTGCAGATAAGAAGTAGGAATTACTTGACAGAGAGGGGCACAAAGGAGCTGACTCTGAAGATTAGCAGAGGCCCAGCAGATGAACTGTGGAGTGTCTATATCCAAGCACACCAGCAGAACAACACATATGAATGGGAGGAACACATGCAAGCACGGGGCAGTTAAACAACTTAAAGCCAGGGAGAAAGTGTGGAGGAGAGGACGTATTCTAGAAGCTTGTCTTGCAGGGGAATGCAGTCACTGCACATAGTCCACTGCTGCTAGACTGTGGAGTTAAGTTTCAAAACATGTTTCACAAAGCTAATACTAGAATTGAACTATTAGGTTTTTCAACATAGTAGCTGATCAGAAAATTCATGAGCAGGTTTATTATTTTTAGTTTAAAAGCATCAAGTTCATTTTACTTAATGTAAATTCCTTCTTTATACTAAAAATATAACATTTTTAAGATCTGAAACACACAGCTATGTATGAAATTTCACTACTGATACACAATTAAAGTGAAAATAATTTTCTTTCCAGGATCATTAGAAGAAGCCATACAGCAACATCCATTTATATTAGCCTCAAAGGTGGGCATCTTTCAGACAAGAGTAGATCTGGAGCTCTGGGTGTGTTTTTTGTTTGATTGTTTGTTTGTTTGCTTACTTTTCAGGAAAAAGAGAAAGCTAAACTATTATTAGAATAATAAAACAGTAAATATTTAATGAAGTCACATAAATTTAGGTTCAAGAACTGGAAAACAGCACAATAAATTGAAAACATAATCTTCTTGAGACTTTCGCATGTCTGGGAGCATCAGGTGTCTCTAAGTGTCCAGTTTCTAAGCATTATACACAGATTTTGAAATTAGTCTGATGATTAGTCAGTCTCTTTTCTACCATTCTCAAACCCACTGTTAACACAGTTAAAATAACAACCCAGGCATGGAATTTATACTCAGAAAATTTGTAACTTAATTAGTTCCCTATATGAACTATTTGTGTTTAAAATGCAGAAGTCAGATAACTTTGTTTTGGAGTGCAAAGTCATGGAACCTGAGTTTTGGAATGTTTTGGAACCTGAGTGATTTTGGAATATTAACTATTATCACAACCACATTTTCTGAAAAGATCATGAATTATTTAAAAGAGAGAAATAAAAGCTGCTCCTCTCAGTGTTAAAATATTACTTCCTACACAGACACAAGCAATAAATTAACTTTCAAATGAAAATCTAAGTATTACACTATAGTATCCTTATTGAAACAACATGCAATAGTATAGTCCTGTCATTGATAAGAAATGGAATTTCCTGCTATTCTAAAATTTTTATGCTGATGCACTTTAAAGGCTCAATGAAAGTGTCACTAAAATAAGATGTTTGGATATGATAAATACTCAGATTATTATATAATAGTCATCAGATTATATAAGACAAGGTCAAATACAATATATTGTTACGTTTTCTCTGTTTATTTTTCCATTTCCTAAGTCAGAAAATCTCCCCCACCCCAGTCCTGTTGATTGAAGCCAGGGTGTAGATAAGCTCTCTACCACTGAGATATAATTCCACAACCATTCCAGCCTGTAACGCTAAGCTTTAATGTCAGACTCTTTTTACTTTTTGCTCTATGACAAGGTTTCATAAAGCCACCCAGACTAGCTTTGACCAGGATCTTGTATATCAGGTCTGGCTGACTCACAGAAACTTAAAGGTAAGTATTGTTTAATCTTTTCCTATTATCTGTTATGGTAAATCATACCATGTAAACATTTGTTCACTAAATATGTGCTAACAGAATGCATAAATAAATACCTATAGGTTCAATATATATGCATCCCCAAATCACGTTAGAAATTAAAAAAACTGAAAGCATATCACTTATTCCTACAAAAGAGTGAAAAAAATGTATAAACTATAACATATATTTGAGAATAAGCAATAGCCTCATAACCCTGCTCAGTTAACAAAGCATCTGAAGTTTTTATATTTTTAAATGCAAGGCTTTATATTTTTAAATGAAATAATCCAAGACATATTGCTATGTTTAAAATCTCTTTTACTAACACATGATTCAAAAATAGAAATTTATATCCTACGATGCTAATGAACTAAAGTGTGATGTGGTTGCTATTTAATAGCTGGAGAAAGTGTCAGTGAAGACATAAAGGTCAGAAAAACTTGTGAAAATAAAATAAAAATTGGTTAGGCTGCATTTACTGTGCTAACCCTTTGAATCCAGAACCAACTATGAGCACTGTGACTCTATAAATAATTAAGTGCTCAGCATGTAAATTTAAAATCCAATTTCAATTTTCATTTTTCAAGACAAAGAAGAAAATTAAACTGCATACTAATTAATGTATTATGTCATACACCTGGAAGATTAAGTGAACACTGTGCTTATTATATGTGGGTTTAAGCAAAGTACTCACAAGCTCACTTGAAAGAATGAATAAAAAAAGAATTAAGTAAAAAAGTAAAAGAATTGAGAAAATAGAGGAAATAATAATGATTCCTCCAACATGTAGGATCTGGTATTCTATTAGACTTTTTATAGTCTTTTAAGTATGAACATTAGTAACTGATGAAGAATTTATCTTTAAGAAAATAACATAAAGTAAGATATTCTTAGAGACTATAATAGTAAAATACAGTTCATGAGCATGGTCAATCCTTGAATATTTAATAACAATGAAGAGTTTTTTAGTTTTCACTTATATGCATATTTTTCTCTAATAAAAACATATTATATTTGCTTTCACTCATTTTTCTCTAAGTGTTTCATTATTATTTTCACCTCAGAAGCAAATTAGTGATCACATGTTATCACCATCATGGTCACTAGCATCATCTCATCACTCTGAAATTAAGAGAAGTGGCCAATTATTTTGCTGAAGATGATCAACTCATCTTTAAATTCTGAGTTGATCATTGTCTCATTCTAGTGAAATTATTTCTTTCCTGGGACAAAGTGCAGTTAGAGTTCATGCTTTGAAAAGAAGATGATGCATTATGCTAAGTAAGCAATATATTAGTTCAAAAGGAAAAAGAAAAATCAATCCATAAAAATAAGGTTTTATCATGACTGTAGTTCTACAGGTGCATTTGAGAATGGTCAAGTAGAGTGACTAAAATGGTTCCAGAATGATTATTAGCAAATATATTACATTTTTGAAATTCTGTATTCATTTTAAAACTTAAATGGCTCTTCATTACTCTCCTATCAAAACTGTATAGATTTGGCTTTTCTATCTGTGCCCATGTAGCTATAGATGTAAGAAGCAAATATAATTTATGAGTCACTTTCTGCATATGCATGCATATTTAGAAACCAAAATATTAACCTTAGGTGAATATATAGAGATATTAAGATAAAAGAAATGTATGTGCCTGGTGTATTGGTGCATGCCTTTATTCCTGCACTTGGGAGGCAGAGGCAGGCAGATCTCTGTCGAGTTCAAGGCCAGCCTGGTCTACATAGTGAGTTCCAGGACAGCTGGGCTACACCAACAACAAAAAAAATGTATCTAATTTGTATAATTCCCTATAAGATCTCAACAAAGAGAGAAATGGAATTTATCTTAGTTTCTGAAGGATAAAATTTTTGTATTTGGCCACAAATAAATTTTCCTGTTTATTAATGCCTGTAAAGCAACTTTTATATATTACATTAATAATGTCACATTGGGTATCCATGTTTATTTGACTCAAACCATGCTGTAAACAGAATAGATCAGCCATCTAATAAATTTTCTAGGAGTTCCCAGTGCCAACAGAATAAGCCCCAAACCTTTAGAATGATACTATAGCACTACACTTTAGAATGGTATTACAGATACTACACTAAATTGGAGCACATCTTTCCAATCACCTTGACTTCTCATAATTTTCTTTGTGCTAGTTAGATTCACATATCTCTCTTTGGATCCTACATGCCTGAGAATCTAGGTTGGTGAAAGATGTCATTGAGTCTCTTCAACTCTCCAGTCCTCACTTACCTTTCTCACCATAACCATGCTCAGTGCACTCAATTTTTCTTCCCTTGAGTGTGCACTATCAATGATTTGGTAGATTTTTATTAAGTTAAGGTGCCCAAAGGAAAGGAGATACAATATTCTGTGGAAATTGGTTTTGACCATCTTTTCTGTCTTCTTGATATATATAATTTATGATTTTTTGCATTATTAACTGTGCAAAAAACATAAATGGATAGAATATGAGAAGTTGGTATATGCTCTTATATGCTTTTTTCAATGGCAAAAAAACTCCTGTTTTCAAAAATAGCTCATCAATGAGACTAAAAAATACAATAAGTTAAAATTCTCTCGGTAATGGGGAGAGAATGTTGAAGACAGATGAATATTGTTATAATCCATTGTACATTTTGTATTTGCATACAAGAAATCATTTATCACAAAGAATGAATAGATCAATTTTTTGTTTCTGGTAGTAACATAATTTGTTGCTAAATGTTAACTAATAAATAAACATAAAAAGAACTTTTTCTTCTCCGACACATCAGAATAATGTACATATGCCCCAAGAATGTTAATATATTAATGTCTCTTTTCACACTTTAAATTAAAAATGTTTAATTCCCATACTTTTAGAATGTGCAGTCAGTTTGATCCTAAACTAATTCACTTTGATCACCAGGAAGAGTCACAATGAATGATCTGTTCCATAAATGATTCTGGTCATTTGGGAAATACTTGTGCACCATTCCACTATTACCTGAATCCATGGCCATCTGTCATTTTCAGCAGCTGTCCAGGCATTTATAAGTCCCTTCTTATTAAGACGAGCATAGTAGGGATACCATTTCTGGAGTCCAAAAAGAGCTCGGTGGGTAGATGAAGCTGTGATTTGCTGATTGGATATGATTCCACCTTCAATTCCCAATGGGCCAGAGCACTCTGCAAACAAGTCACAAAAAAAATGTACTTAACGTACACTTACTATCAAAAGTTATTTGGATGAAACTTGACAGCAAACACTGTATAAATGAGTTGAATTTGTACCAACATACCATTTCAGTCATATCCAGGAGACAGATCCATTACTTATCACTACATTTGGTAATTAATTATTGTTATTTAGGGTACTGTCAGCTCCCTGTGTTTGGACATGACCCCTCAATATCAAATCCCTTGTACATTATAATTAGCATTGATGCAATATGCATCTCTTCAAAGGTCTATCGTTTTTAAAATATTTATTTATTACTTTTATTTTATGTGTATGAGTGTATTGCCTGCATGTATGTGATTGCACCCATGTTGTGCAATGCTACAGAGGTCAGAAGAGGGCTTTGAATTCCCCTAGAACTGGACTTAAGGAAGGTTTGTAGCTGCCATGTGGGTGCTGTGAATCCAACCCGGGTCCTCCGCAAGAACAGTCAGTGCTCTTAACTGCTGAGCCATCTCTCCAGCCCGCAAAAAGTTAATTTTGTTCATTAGAAAAATAAAAAAATTAAAACCTATCTCACTTTCATAATAACAGAGATTAGTAGACCGCATTAATCTTTAACGCTCAACAAATATCTGTTGATCAATTATTTCTTGACTGACATAAATTTTAATTTGGAGTAAAAATTATTATTATACTAAAAACATTTTACTAC